TAGTAAATTATTATCGCAGGAAAACGCTATCACTTATTCAAGATACATAATGTTCAGCAGGACTTCATTTGTTCTGCGACGTAAGTTGCAGTTTCAGGCACTTTCTGCTTCTGCGCAGGTGGCTTAGAGAACTCCTTACCTATAGCTCTATACTTGGCATGTTTTCCCAATTAACTTGTTGAGAGTCATAGAAGAATGAAGTATGTTAGTTTCTGTCTTGATTTTCAAATAGATTAAAACTAAATTAAACATAGTTCTAAAAGAAAGCGTCATGGAAATTTGAAAAAATATTAACAATTAAATGCGAAAAATATTAATAAAGGTGAAAATAGAGCCAGTACATTTTGATACAACTGAAAAGTGGAGAAAGGGCCAAAGCAAGGGAACCGGTCTTTTCTCCAGATTGCGTATTCGCGCGTTGCGATAGCCTATATTGCAAAAAATTTCGTAGACCAAGCTTAAATATTTGTAAAAATATGGCCATATTAATAAACTATTTATATATTTTCGTCTTATTTGGCTATAACTCTGATTTGAATATCTTAAAAATTCACTAAGTTAGTGGAAATTTCCTAAATAGTGTTTGTATTTTTTAAAAGAAAAATCTAAATGATAAGGAGTTTTCAACAAATTTCATTTTGCATAGGACAAAATTAAATAGCAAACAATACATTACAATAGTCGTCCGTACACCGCAATGTGATGGTATAAAGAAAGAAAACATACTTTTATGGAAGATGATCAGATGAAATACGCTGCCATTTTAAATAAATGTTATCTAACAGTACGAAATAAAATTTGTGGAAAATCCATAATCATTCAGAGCTTTCTTTAAAAAATAACGAAAAGTGAATAGAAAATTGCTCAAAACTTTTTCAATGTTCAAGATATTCGAATCGGACTTTTTTATCAGCAACTAAATAGTACAACATTTCACTACGACATTTTAAGAATTTTTTTAAAAACTTTTCTTCGAACATGCGAAGTAAGAAAAAGCTACAGGCTCAGATATTGCGCGATTTTCTAACAAATTTAATCCTAAATTAATAATTTTGTTACTAATTAAAAATTATTCTGAAAATTTTGCTAAGTAATTTTGAAGTTAAAAGCCAAAAAATAATTTTTATACATAAAAATTATAATTCGATGAATATTTAAGCAAAGTGAGCAAAATTTAATTCAATTATTGAAAACAACAACCGAAGAAATCATTGCAAGTTACCAGTTTATTGCTATGTTTTCATGTTGTTCAAAAATCCTTGCTTTCGTTCGTAATTTAATGTCAGTCCCTTTAACCAGTGAAAGCTTTGAAACTTATTGATAAGTATGAAAAATTGCATGACCTAAACACCTCTAAATTACAAAATAATAGTCTCCGTATTCTTTGAGAAATTTAAAAAAATGTCAAAAACTGAAAGCGTCTCTTCTATTACTATGGAGTAATGTATGTTACACAAAATAATTTTGAAAGTGATCAAGCTGGCCACTAAAGGCAGATAGTACTCAATACTTTTGATAATTATTTTAAGAACTAAGGTAAATTAAGAACTATGAATAATTATTTTCCAATCAAATAGATTGAAAGATAACTATTCAGCAAATAGAAAATCTGCAGCAAGTTTTCTAGCACATAGCTGGTAAATCTAAAAAGATTAATAATATCAGTTAGTAACTGTTGTCACAGGTTACTACATGCACTGAAAGTAAAAGTTCACCACTAGATGCCACAATTATTCTANACCACAACAAATTAAAGGTACCAAAGCAAACGCCAGTCAATGCGCGGTACAAAAAGATTTTCGTGCCTCTGAAATTCGCTTCATTTCTTTTTCTTCGGTACGATCATGTAACGGAGAACAAGCGCATGCGCACATCAGTGAAAAATTTTATGACGAAATACGTTTTCTGTCCCCTCGCATCCACGCTACCGATTGAAGAAGTTTTCTACAAATGTGCTCTATTGATGTTATAAAAATGCTTGAATTTGGTAAGTTTAATACTTGTATCTTATTTTTATATTAATTCCTAAGTAACGACGGCATCTTTTTTATTAATACATTTCAATTTTTATTAGTGAATTATTAATGCTACAAATCTTATAAAAATGTTTAAGCGAGAGAGCTAACCCTAGTTATGTTTACATTTCTGTTGTAGTTGTATTATTTATGTTTTATCATTATAATATTAAGAGGAATGTTTTTAAAGTGCCCTATATTTGTTCTGTAGTGTTTGATTATAATTTTGTATGAGGTTTTCAATGTGGCGATTGCTATGAATAAGAAATCATTTTTATTTGAAATACCAATTTGCTTTTTTGTTTATCTTAGTTTACATTCGAGAGCTATCACAGAAATTCTCTCACAGAATGATTGAATAATTTAAAAAACAACGAAGAATGTTTTCGAATTTTTATTATAATTATGAAAAGTATACTTTCAATCATTAGCTATTTTAGAAAACAATTGACATTGATATCTAATTATAATTATTTCAAACTGTTACTAAACTTACAATTGATATAAACCTGAAGAAAAAAATAAGATTATGCTTTATTTATATTTTAAATATGGTGTAAGCATGGGAGAAAAAGGCAATCTTCTAATGATTTATAAATTTTTAATTAGTTATTATTTTTTTTGAAAAAGTACTAATGTTTAAAAATGTTTTATTCTAACATCACAGCTTTCAGTGTATAATTTCAAATTTTAGTTTTGAATTTATGACTCAAAATAGATAACATGGGATATATAATTATTTA